ATAAAGAGTCTGAGAGGGAGATGGGGGTGGGGTGGGATTTGGAGCAACAGCCAGTTTGCACCGGTCAGAGAAAATTCAGTGAAAATTAGAACGTTCTCTTGTCCAGAGGTCTCAGCTTTGGCTGGTTTTGGCCATGCTTGCTAAAGTTTGACCAGCTCCTCTCTGAAGTTTTCTTGGACCTGCATCTTACTACCCTCAGAGTGTGTATATGCATGTTTTGTCCTGAACAGTCCTAGGTCCAGGATAGTGCTTGGCAAACATCCTTCTCAAACATATACACAAAAAAATTGCTCTTCAGAAACATGTCTGAGGCCAAGAAAGGGATGTAAACAGCATCAGAAGTAGGAATTTTGGCAAGTTTCCTTTACCTTTAGATTATCTGGATTTTAACAGGATGGAAACCTTTACTATTTCCCTCCAGCACATTACGCTAATGTGGCATTCCTTTTGCTGTCATGTACAGGCCAGAAGGAGTTGTCCTTAAGTGCTCCAAATAGTCCAGCCACTTTGTTAATAACATGTTATTTTGCACAGTACACATGTTTGTTTCCTGAGGGATAAAATTATGCTCAGATATCATAGTGATGGAGCCATACAAGTACCTAGCCAGATTAGATAAAGATTTAATACATTTCAGACTTCAGCAGTTAGTTCATTTTAGTGATGCAGAAAGCCATGAGAATTATGCTTTATAATGAGGAACTTGCCACAACTGAGGGCTAAGTAATGATTTGAATCACAGTGATCTAATACCTGAGGATTAATTCAAGATGCTTATTAACTTGCATTTCCATTCCCTTCCCAGGAAAACAGTAAAACGTTTTTTTAAAAATGGTCTCAGTGAAGTCATAAAAGGTATAAACAGCTAAAAAGACTAAATTAATGTAATGGGATTAGGTCCCTTTGCATAAGTAAGAAGCCAGTTTCATTTACCATTTTAGCCAAAACCACTGTTGTTTTAGAAACCTTTCACAAGGAGAAAAGAACTCAGCAATTTTGTCTTCATATTTGGCCATTAAAAAATCCCAGCAGATGAAGAAGATGGCTAGAACAGTGAGTACAAAGAGTGCCAGAGCTCTCTGAAAATTCAGGGCACATGCAGTGACGACTATCACCAGGTAAGCTATCAAGGAAACAAGAACATGTATGTCAGTTGCATCTATACTTAAAAAAAAAAAAGCAAACAAACAAAATGCACAACCGATGGCTCTTCACTTACTAATTTAATTAGGACAAAGAAAGGTACATCCCCAGTTTAAGAAAGCACTTGAACACGTGTTTAAGTTTAACTTGATTTCAATGAGACTTAAGAATAAGCTTAACGCAAAGCATGTGCTTACGTGCTGTCCTGAAGGATAGCTCCTTGATTTCTGGTTTAAATGTGGACAGTGATATAACATATAAACATCAAATATAACATCACCGTCAAATCCCATCACTGGGAAATGGGGAAAGAAAGAGGTTCTGTGGTGTGGATTTTTTCTTTATGTTCTTCATCAAAGCAACGTCAATTTTTTAAAGGTAGTAGCAAGGTAATAATAGTGAACCAAATGATAAACATCGCTATTAATCTGTAGGTCTCAAAGCACTTTATGAATAAGACATTCATCCCTAGTAGTGTTACATGTGGTAGTAGAGTAATGCCCACAGATTCATTAAAAACAAAGTTAGTTAATGTTCATTCAGGTTACAGGCCTGGTGATGTGATGCCAATAGTTGTCATAAACAGATAAAGCATTTGGATAATGCCCTGTAGTTGGGTTAACGGAGTGTTGAATGTTTAGAGCCAGTCAGAGGTCAGGAAATATTTCTCGGAGAGAGAGAGAGAGAATAAGACTTTGCTGAGGTAAGCAGTAAAAGTAGATAATAAAGGGTCTGTCTACACTGCATTCCTCTTTCGAGAGAGGAATGCAAATGCAGCTGATCAAAACTGCAAATGAAGCGCAGATTTTAATTTCCTGAGCTTCATTTGCATAATTGCGTCCGGCCGCTATTTCGAAATGCCCTATTTTGAGATAAAAAACGCTGTGTAGACATGGTTATTTTGAGAAAAAAACCTTCTTTCAAAATAATCCCTAAACCTCATTTTATAAGGAGTAACGGTTATTTCGAAAGAAGGGTTTTTTCCCAAAATAACTGCGTCTAACACAGCAGTTTTTCTCTCGAAATAGGGTATTTCGAAATAGTGGCCAGATGTGATAAACACAGCAGTTTTTATCTCAAAATGGGGTATTTCGAAATTGTGGCCAGATGTGATTATGCAAATGAAGCACGGGAAATTCAAATCCATGCTTCATTTGCACTTTCACTCAGCTGCATTTGCATTCCTCTCTTGAAAGAGGAATGCAATGTAGACATATCCAAAACTACTACATTGATGTGGCATTATAAACACTTCATGGACAAATTGTTATTAGAAAAGGGGAAAGTAATGCAGTTAAATAAGAATGGTTGAAACTATAGTTAGCGGATAAGATAGGAAGAGAAATGACAAGGGTCTCATGGACAAGAGGCAAGGATGAGGAATTGATAAGTAAACAAAAGCAACAAAAAAGCATCTAATAATTGATTTAAAATATACATTAAACAATAATCCCCACATTAAACAAGAAATTATTCTGTTCGTGTATTAAAATAATCTAAATTAGAAATCAGCTTTTAGGGTCTTTCATTATGTATTTCTGGATGAATAAAGCCTACCATATATTAGATGGCAGTTTATTTGATTACTGAGGGAAAGTAAAGCCTCCTATAGAGCAGCATGTGTTCTGAGCACAAACAGTGTGATTTAAAAACAATGGTTCCTATTCCATCTGCCACAATATGCATAAAAGTGGCAAGTATTAGTTGAAATGAGGAGAAGCATTTGAGAGTAGCTTTGATAAACTGGGCTGTGCAACAAGGGCTTGACTCAAAGCTTGCTGAAATCAATGGGAGTCCAAAGACTTAAATGGGCTTTGGACTAGGCTACACATTTCCTGCCTGTTGTAACTAGATACAAATGGACTTGGCACTTGACAGTTTCTTGGATAATATGTGGGGCAACAGAATACTTAATACCCGTTAATTACCTGCTTTTGCATGCTCATAACAACAAACAGTCGTTTCTTTTTCTTTTTAAGGCAAGTTGTTACTTGTAGGGCTTTTGCATGCTCATAACAACAGTCATTTCTTTTTCTTTTTAAGGCAAGTTGTTACTTGTAGAATTGATATACTAAACACTTGCCTCAAAAGGAGGCTCAGAAAAGAACAGAATTGAACAACCCAATTTATTGCACAATTGGGAGAGGGACAAACAGGACCATTTGAATGAGCTCCCTATGTATGCTGGAATACCAAGGCTTTGTGGCATGACCTTTATGCAATGAAACACTGTGGCGTGGGCACTGAATGGCTCAGGTAGGAGAACGTTAATAGGACAAGGAGACTTTCACTTCTAGAACACTGATTTGAATCCAGTCTAGTTTGGTACTAATTAAAAATCACTGGTATCTGATTGCTGTTTAGTGCTATATTATTTATTAATTTGTGTCTCAAGCAAGCTCCTAGAACATATACTTTAAGATAACTGACCCCACTGTCTGAGCACAGAAGCTGATCACTGAATGGACATGGTAGCTAAACAACCCCTTTGATCTCTAAGTGCGGTAGGTTAGGTCCAGATCAGAAATGAAGCATATTGTTTGGACAACGTAGGAAACCTTCTACTATAACTGCTAATGTTGTACTGGTGAATAAATGGAGAATGTAATGTTTATTCTGGTGAATAAATGGAGAATTTCAGTCTGCAACCATTATCCAGGACTAGAATTCATTTGCATCTCCTATTATCTTCTCAAACCAGAAAACATTTGATGGACTCATATCTGTGGAAATGTCTGATATTTTTCCAGTATGTTACATCAATTAAATTCCACTTCATGCTATTTTACTCAAACAGTGAATGAGAAGTATGAATAGTCTGAAATCAAAGTAAAACTGAAAGAGGCTACAGTTATTTCCTATGTTTGTTAAAAATAAAAGTACCTGCTATTAAAATTCCATATATCACATATTGAATTCTGGTTTTGTGTTTCTTGCAAAAGTCACAGACTTCATCATATTTCTTTTCCAGGTACCTAGAAGTACACACAAACAAACAAAACAAAGAGAACAAAGAAATAAAAGCAGGAAGAGGATTAATTCATACAGGAACACTGCATTAGATTGATCAAAGTTTCTGCACTGCCAGAAAGTTAATTTTGCATTCCAAAATGCAAAAGAAACACTTAAAAATGATTTTAGAATTAGTTGTTTGACTTTGAACTAGTAGAATGCAACTAGACGTGGGAGACCCTTAAAGGGCCAAAATTTGGAAAGATTAAGATATGGGCATCTCCACCCAAAATACATATGTAAATATATAAATGCATTGTGACCACAATTACTGTAACTGTGTGTGGAAACTAGTTAATAGAATGCACATAAACTAGATAGGCTCTTATCTAGTCATTAGTGCACTCATTACCAGATTTGTGTGCACATCTGCAAAGTCATGAGTTTTATTGCAAAACTGTAATTTTTCGGGCATGCCGATGTCCATGCACCAGTAGTTCTAGATCTCTTGAAAATACAGCTCATCATTACAAGCACTCAACATTTATCAAACTTTTGATTATATGGAAGCTAAAATTGTCTAGTGTGTCCACATTCTGTATCTTTCTACCCTCGCCAGGTGTTAAGTGACCCAGGGGCTGCAGAATAGTGATAGAAATGTATCCGTGTTAGTCTGGGGTAGCTGAAGCAAAATGCAGGACAATGTAGCACTTTAAAGACTAACAAGATGGCTTATTAGATGATGAGCTTTCGTGGGCCAGACCCACTTCCTCAGATCAAAAACCAGGGGCTGCAGGTTGAGAATCATTGAGCTACAGAATCACCTAAGTTTGTGTAAACTTAGAAAGAATTCACAGCAACAAGTATGCCCCTCTAACTCAGTTCCTGACATTCTTTTAAACTAGAATAGCAAAGGTATATTTAAAGATGATAATCACCCAAACTGTATTAATGTGGTAAACAGATGCAGCTGGAGTTAGGTGTGCAGTGAAATTTAGCATGACTTTCCTCCTTATGCTATGGCAAACGATTCATTTTAAAGAAACAGGAAATAGCACATGCCATTGTAATGTGATTTTTTTTTTACTTAGTTCAGATTAGTACTCAAACAACAGATTAGGAATACATTTGCTCACCAGGTCAAACAGTAACAGGTTTCTGATAAATGTTGTTTGCTTCTGACATTTCAATTTCTGTTACTGGAACCTCTATTGACTTAAAAATTATATCTCTTACTTGAATACTGTGTACAGATGTGGTCTCCTCACCTCAAAAAAGATATTTTGGCCTTGGAAAGGGTTCAGAAAAGGGCAACTAAAATGATTAGGGATTTGGAATGGGTCCTATATGAAGAGAGGTTAAAGCGACTGGGACTTTTCAGTTTACAAAAGAGGAGACTGAGGGGGGATATGATAGAGGCCTATAAAATCATGGGTGGTGGGGAGAGGGTGGATAAAGAAAAGTTATTTATTAGTTCCCATAATAGAAGAAATAGAGGACCCCACATGAAATTAATGGGTAGCAGGTTTAAAACTAATAAAAGAAAGTTCTTCTTCACACAACGTGGAGTCAACCTGTGGAACTCCTTGCCAGAGGAGGCTGTGAAGGCTAGGACTATAATAGAGTTTAAAGAGAAGCTAGATAATTTCATAGAGGTTAGGTCCGTAAAAGGCTATTAGCCAGGGGATAGAAATGGTGTCCTTGGCCTCTGTTTGTCAGAGGCTGGAGAAGGATGGCAGGAGACAAATCGCTTGATCATTGTCTTCACTCCACCCTCTCTGGGGCACCTGGTGCTGGCCACTGTCAGCAGACAGGCTACTGGGCTAGACGGACTTTTGGTCTGTCCCAGTATGGCCGTTCTTATGATAGGACATTATGGGTATGTCTAGACTACATGGCTCCATCGACGGAGCCATGTAAACTAGTTTACCCGACAGTCAATGAAGCGGGGATTTAAATAATCCCCACTTCATTAAAATAAAAATGGCCACTGCGCTGTGCCGACAATCAGCTGATCCGGCACAGCGTGGCAGTCTAGACGCAGATCGGTCGACAAGGGAAGCCTTTGTCGACTGCTCCTGTAAACCTCGTTTCACTACCCGAGACACGGTGCGGCTTCCGCAAAGAGCGTGGCACGGTGGATATGATCTTCGCAGCCTGACAGCTCCAAGAGAAGTGTCAAGAGCAGAATCGTGAACTGTACACCATCTTCGTGGATCTCACCAAGGCTTTTGACACTGTCAGTTGCGAAGGTCTGTGGCGCATCATGTCGAAGTTTGGGTGCCCTGACAGATTCATCCTGATGGTACGTCAGTTCCACGACGGCATGACGGCTCGTGTTTTGGATGATGGAGAAGCTTCAGAGGCCTTTCCCGTCACAAACGGCGTCAAGCAAGGGTGTGTGCTGGCACCGACCCTGTTCAGCATAATGTTTTCAGCCATGCTGTCAGACGCCTTTCAGAACAGTTCCTTGGGAATCAGACTGAGATACAGGACCGATGGGAAATTGTTTAACCTGCGAAGACTCCAGGCTGTCACCAAGATAAAAGAGACTGTGTTACGAGATCTCCTTTTTGCTGATGACTGCGCCCTGAATGCTGGATCAGAGCAGGAAATGCAAGCCAGCATGGACAAATTTGCAGCAGCATGCGACAACTTCGGCCTTCTCATCAACACAAAGAAAACCGAAGTGATGCACCAGCCAGCTCCAAAAGCTCAGCATCAAGTGCCCACCATCACAGTGAAGGGACAAAAGCTGCAAGCAGTGGACCAATTTACATATCTTGGCAGCACCCTCTCCCGCTCAGTGACAATTGACATCGAGGTCAACTGCAGAGTCGCCAAGGCAAGCTCTGCGTTCGGCAGACTGTTGACCAAAGTGTGGGACCGCCGTGGAATAAGCCTTGCTACAAAGCTTAAAGTCTATCGAGCAGTAGTGTTAACTACCCTGATGTACGCCAGTGAGACTTGGACTGTATACAGGAGGCACGCTAGGCAACTGAACCACTTCCACACGATTTGCCTCCGCAGACTTCTGAGGATCCGGTGGCAGGATAAGGTGCCAGACACAGAAGTCCTTTCTAGAGCAGGCCTGCCGTCAGTTTACACCCTGCTGATGAAAGCCCAGACATGCTGGGCAGGCCATGTTGCAAGGATGCCAGATCATCGCATCGCCTAAACAGCTCTTCTATGGTGAGCTGTTTCAAGGGAAGCGATCGCACGGGGGACAAAAGAAGCGATACAAAGATACGCTTAAAGCCTCTCTCAAGTCCCTGGATATTGACACCACCTCCTGGGAGACCCTGGCACAAGACCGATCGAAATGGCACACGCTGATCTACCAAGGCTGTCAAACATCTGAAGCCAGAAGGACAACCATAGCACAAGAGAAGTGAGCACTCCGTAAAGCCAGAGTTGCAAAAGCTGCAACAGTGGTGCCCACACATGTCTGCCCGACATGTGGCAGAACATTCCATGCCCGTATCGGCCTTATCAGCCATTTGCGGACACACCGTGGACAGTCCACAACCCGTTAGATGTCAAGGTCCTCTTCGAATACGATGGACGAACAACAACAACAACAACAAGTTACTTACTAAGCCTCTTCAAGGAGCTTAGGTACAACAAGGACAGGGAAAGAAAGCAGAAAGTTATACATATATGATAGAACATCCTTTTAATTGTTGGTGAATTAATTAAAAAATATTAGCTATTACTATGGTGCATTCTTACAGTGGCATAATAATGGGCAGATTTATTTACAATTTAGTAACAGATAGTTAAGATAGGAAATGGGCATGAAAGGATACAGTCCACCTGTGGACTCTTTGCCAGAGGATATTGTGAAGGCCAAGACCACAATAAGGTCCGAAAAAGAATTAGATAAATTCATGGAGAACAGGTCCTTCAATGGCTCTTAGCAAGGATGGTGTCCTTAGACTCTGGTTGCCAGCAGCTGGGAATGGGTAATAGGGGATGGATCACTTGATGATTACCCATTTTGTTCATTCCCTTTGGGGCACCTAGTGTTGGCTACTCTTGGAAGACAGGATACTTGAGAGATGGCTCTTTGGTCTGACCGAGTATAGTCATTCTTATATTCTTATGCTTCTTAGTTTATTTGTATAATGCAACGAGGGCTGGCCCTGGGAGTGCAGCACATGTGCATCCCTGCTCCCAGGTGCGCAGTGCCCCTGGGCCCCAGGCGCCTGGTGCATGCGCGGCCCCACCCCAGACGCCCGGCGCATGCACAGCCCTAAACCCGCCCGGTCTGGCAGCCCCATGTGGTGTCTCCTACAATGGGGCACCCTGGGCAGTAGCCCGGTCAGCCCGTAGCTTGGGCCAGCTCTGAATGCAACACAATGTGCTATGTTACTATATATTCTCAAGATATTTCATATAATTCTACAAATAATCCTTACTGATTATTATAATTCTGAGAGATTAAAATTGAATTATATTTTCTTACAATTATTTTTGTCCCTAGATCATTTGCAGATAAACTGCAGGAAGTGGCACGGATTGGGCCACCACCACCCACAATGGCCATGCCTGCAGATGTTCAGGTAAACAAAGCATCTGGTTGCCTGCCAGCTGCTAACTCTGATGAACTATATGCAGCCAGTGCACTGAAGGTTCCCGACCCCTACTTAATAGGTTAGGTTTGATTGTGTATTTATAAATATAGAGATAATAAATGGGTAATTTTACTCTGATATGTGCCTTTTGAAAAACAGCATTTTGGGGTTCTTGCTCATTATCTATCAAGGAACTAAAAGCCTATCTGGTTGTAAGAGTGCGTAGAAATCATTTCATATTTAGCTAGAAGCCATCTCGTATAACAGAAACCATTTCAGCTTTTCTCTTTGGCACATAGACCAGAGTGAACTTTCTGTCACCCCATGAGAAGAGGCCTACAGAATGGGCTATTGGAATGTGTTAATTGGGCTGGTTGGGACAGGAGATGTACTACTTTGTACCTGTCCACCATCTTGTTGATAAGACTTCGTTTTTCCAAGTTTAA